CAGGAAATGTTTTGCTGCTCTCAAAATCTCTCTTGTTTCTCATCAGCATACTTGCCACTTTTCATTTCTCTTCAGAGGTTTATTCAAGTGTTGAGATAACAACCTGTACTGAATACAATGTTAAAACTGCATGAAGAAATAATAGAGTTAGAATATCAGTGGTTCTCAGGTGTCCTCACCTCTCAACTGCCTGGACCAAAGCAGCCCTCAGTAGCAAAGAAAAACCTAGAATACCTCATACCATGTGAGTGCTCAGCTCTTAGAAACATTCGCATAGTTCAGCAACCCAAAGGAATTTTTATAATGAAAGCAAGGGGTTGTGGAGAGGAGAGGGGTGAGGTTTTTTTATTCTTTCACTTTTTCATCTTTTCTGTGATAGGGTGATCAGGTCAGAGACTCACTGCAAAGGAAGAACGCCTTGTGGGATTAATACAGCAGTTTCAAGAGCCAGTTCAAAATACCTGAGGGTATTTTGGCATTTTTGGTCCATTGTTGTTAAAATTTATAGACTTCCATTTCTAAAGCATCTCTTGCCATTGGCACTGTTGCTTCTGTGGCTGCCTGCTGTTGCTGGTTTGAATTCATTAAGCAAACAATAGATTCAGAGTCTGAAACAACGGTTCCCTGTCACCGGAGTGACAGTGCTGTGGGTTGCAAAACTTTTGGTTAATTATTCTTAAATGCAGTTACTACATCATAGGTATTTTTTATGTCATTTACTCTTCCAAGGGAGCTTAACGTTCAAAGAAATTTTCTTTGTCTATAATGTAGTAATACTTGGGACACCACAATTAATTATTTCTAAATGTCAGGAAATATTCTAGCTCCTTCACTTGGTGACATCTGCGACAGAGATCCTTCAGAGCCCTCTGTAAATTACTTAATGAAAATAGACGTTCCCTTCCAAAGCACCACGATCCAGTGCGTTCAGATGAATTGACAGAGGAGGTGATGTTAATATGCACAAGTTAATAGTTTGCTAATCATCGTGAAGGTGCTCTCACTTGGTGAGGTCCATTGTATTTTAAACTTAAATTGAACTGCTACTTCTACATTGTTACTGCTGTAGTTACACGTTAAATTGATTAAAGCTTGTGAAGGTCTGGCTCCCTGAACTACAGCCACTGTTGTTATTTGCTGTACAAACACATCCTGGGAGAAATGCAATAACTTGGCCACTGAGACCTTGTGGCTATAAGAAGATAGAGATTTCCTTCTCTCTCTTTCTCTCTTGTTTTTGTGGGCTTTTTCTTCTCTATTTTTTTCTTTTTTTTTTTTTTCCCTATACCTTGTCAGTAAAGCTCTTCCAAAAGCTTGGGAGCCAAAATTCTGCAACTCACTGCCTCCATATTCAGTATGTTGGAGCAACCAGTAAAAACCACACGGCCTTAGTGATACCTTTCTTCCTGGTTTTCAGTACTGTTGTTCTGTGCCTGAATGAGTATGAATTATTGATCTGGATGACTTGTCACATAATGTGAACATTAGAGCTATTGTTATGGGAGTTTCGGGAGGTGTCTGGTAGCAGCTAAAGCACGCATTTGATGCATAATATCCTGAAACTGAATAAAGAAAACAGCAGTTGCATTCTCTGAGAGGAAGAAACCTCCACGTTTTATGTTCTCATAATAAATTGTCTGCTGCAAATAATTCACTCCTGCTATAGATTGAGCTGCTTTCTCAGGTAGTGTTTTTCCTGTCTTTGAAATGTTTCCCATTTGAAATCAAAGCTGAAAATTTCAACATCTCTCTAGAAACAAGTATCCACGGAAAGAATTAAGTGGTTTGTTCAAATCTTCACCTTTTAAACCTTTTTTTTAATAGGAAAAAAAAGCATTTTAAGATGATGACTTTATTTGAAAGAAAAGAAAAAACATTTTTAATTTCTGTGTCATTGCATCTCTTCACAAATCTTAGTGATGCCACTTGAAGTCAGGAAATTTAAAATATTTTGAGAAATGTACCTCATCTTGTGTATAAACTCTTGAACTAAATATTTGTGCTAAGTTACTTTGGTACACCGCATGTACCAGTGTTTGTTTTCTTGCTTTGTCCCCTTGCAATGTCTTCAGTTAATATTGAATTTTTAAAGATGGAAACTTTAAATAATGTCATTATTAATATGATGGTATTTTCAGTAATTCAAGTGACAATATACTTTCAAGTAAATGGAGATTGGTTGGTTGTTCAGGAGACTCAGTAGATAAAAAGTATTTTTCAAGGAAGAGTATAAATCACTTGTTCTTTATTCATTAATATCTATAATAAAGTAGTAAAATAATATTGTAACATACACCCATGATCTGAGTTTTAATTTCCTTTGGATAACAGATACGGGGAGATGGCTATGGCAGGTCTCACGCACTAGAAGTGTGGTACAGCTGCGTCACAGCTGCTCTTTGTGTAGCTGCTTATCTCCATCATCTTCTAGATCACAGCACGTGGTTACCAGCTGTGAAACAGAAGTGAGCAAGCACTTGAAATATTCCAGAAGAGACCTGAAGATTCAGAAAGAGAGATACCTGCTTCTGAAGACAGCAGCGTTTGGTGACAGGGAAGGAGGTGTAGTTAGGCAGCATAAAAACAGCCAAAGTGACTTTCGTCCCTGATGGTGCCTGTGACCACAACTGGTAACGGATGTTGTGTCTTAGGCTCTCTGGGTCTGTGTAGGTAAAAGAAATGAATGAGCAGGTGGACTTGACTTACAAGACCAGCACTGGATTAGTATAGTGCAAGCAAACAGGCACTGAGTGACCCATCTCGGGCCCACTCTTGGTTTACTTCTTTGGTAGTATCTGAGATCGTGAACAAAACAAGGCACTGTTTGAGGAATGATATACTGCCTTTTCACACTTGGTTCATAATGATTGCCTAAGATACAAAGCGTATAAAATCTACCAGATGCAGCAAATTCTCTTGAGCCTAAGAAAGCAAAATTGTAATGCTACAAATGTAAATGCTGGCATTGCAGCTTAACACACATATAAACCGAGCGATCTATATTGTGAGATCATCATTTTTTAAGAAAGACTGGAGCCCAGAGACTAGGAAATGTTCTCATCTGCAGTGTATCAGCAGTTCTCAGTCTTCAGCTGCTGTATAGATAATAATTCTAATAGAAGAATCATTACATGAATCCGTATGTGAATGATAGATGGGCTATAGCCTTTTGTTCGTGACGCTTTAAAAATTGAGTTGCTGTTTTCACTCTTATAAGGGCTGATTAGATTGCCTTTTTTTTTTCTTTTTTCTTTTTTTTTTTTTTAAATGCAACATTTTAATCAACCTGGATTGACAGGATTTGGAATTTGAAGGAAAAACAATTTCTGTAACTGACTTTTTTCTTTTTTTTTAAACAATAGCTATTTAAAGGCTTGAATTGGTTACAAAGTGACTCTCCACAGAGAGAACCTTTGTTCAGATGTTTTTAATTCTGAAAACAGTGCTTGAAAAACTGTGCTCTGTAATAACTGTTTTTCATGTATTACAATTTTTTCCCTCAAAGATAACAGCGTACGCTTTAGTGCAGTTTAAGAGTTCTTTTTTTAAAATCATAGTTAAAAAGGCATTTGCTCTGTCACTCATCAAGCATCTGTCATATCAAAGAACTAGTAATATGTTTATCTTGATGGATAAGCTTCAGTATTCTGTACCAAGTTCAGGGTAACTGGACCAAGCTTTCAGTACTCCTTCGAGGATCCTAAAGTCAAGTTCATGATCTAATTAAGATCAGTGTGATAATTATATCTGCTGCTGAACAGGAGTCTTTCATCATACCACATTTCAAATAAATTCTTCAGCTTGGCATCAAAGCTGATCCAGATCAGAAGCTGAATTGCTTTCTTAACATGGATGGTGAAATTTAATTTGCCTTTAGATCCTGAATTCAAATCCAGGCTGAGTCAGCTATAGAAAATTGTAATTGCTTTATTTTAACCTAATGGGAAATAGAAAGAATACAGTGGTTTCAGCTGGGTGCTGCCTTTCCTATTGCTGGTTCTCGAAGACCTGCAAACATCAGGCTGCTGTCTTACTGCTGGTTAGGGCGGGGCAGGGGGATGATGTACAAATAACACGACAGCAACGGAGGCGTGTGCGTTATTCTTTCTCTAGGCATCCCAAGTAGGAACACACCACTTCATTAGGAATTCAGGATGAACATGTTTCTACTGATCTGTTCTCTCCCAAAAAAGCCATTTCTCAAGCACATTCCTGTGACCAGAGAGGCACAAGGGAAAAGACAAGGTCTCTCAACGTTTTGGAAGATTTCCAGATTGGGCATACATGTTAGGCTTTTTGCTATGTATAACACTCCTATTGCTACCTAAACTCTTGAAAAACATGTTTGCAGCCATTCTCATTCCTTAGCCAAACTCTTTCTGAGCTGAATCCGGTGCAGTGACCCCTCTCTGGGCATCGGAGCAGGGCATGCTGCTCCGGCACCGCAGCTGGTGGAGCCGTGAGGTCTGGCTGCAGGAGGTGAATTTGGTGCCCAAGCAGGGGAAAGTGTTCTGGGTTTGCTGTGATACTGGAATTCCAAGCAGCTGTGACAAGTAGAACTAGTTTGTAGGTGCAAAGGCTGTTGGGCAGTTAGCTATTAACTAGGCTTTCTGGAGCCTGAGGAACTGCCGATGGAAAGAGTGCTTAGTTTGGTCCGTAATATGTCAAACGAAGAACTGGCTGTTCAGGGAAGAAGAATCTGTCAAATGTAACTAAAGAGAAAAAAGCTTCCATGTATTGTATAAACTCAATTAAAG